TTCAAAAAGAGACGCGACATATCAAGTGACGCTTTTCAATAACTGTTTGATGGTCAATGGCATCCTCTGAGGTCTTGATCATTGAGAATATCTTTAAGTCGTCAACATAAAGCAAAAATTTGCAAATGATAAGCAACTATTAATATCATTAATATATAGTATAAATAAAAGCGGGCCTATATTTCTTCTGGAACTCCAGAAGTGCGGACAAAGGGGCAAGAATATATGCCTTTTAGACCAATATGAGTTCAACCATTCCAGGAAGACGGATTTTTTAATTAGGGAACTTATAAGAAATTTTAATAGAAGTTTTGAAAAAGTCACAAGTTTGCATTGACTGCGTGCTCAAAATATTTTTAAATAGTCCACAGATAGATATATGTGGGTCTATAATTACGCTCATCATTTCTGTTGCCACTTTTCTTAAAGACAGGTGTTATAGAGGTGAGCGTTTAGTCGCAGTAAACGATAGCGATTTATGGAATATTAGTCTTCTTCTTCTTATTTGGTAATGCAAATGTTTGTTGGGTTGGGCCGAGACCAAAAGGCTTCGTCAGTTGCCTCTCTCCTTTGTTGATTTGCGGACAGGTGTGGACAGGTCCTTCTGCAGTTGGTCCTTCTATTGCATTTGTGGGCGCCCTTGCTTTCGTTGTCCAACCTTGGGTACCGAGGACCTTTTCACCGCATTGTCGCACAATCTGGAAATTGAACTTTTTTCGTGACAAATTCTAATATGTATCTCGAGAATGAGAACAGCTAAAGTCAGTCACTACTTCAAAGTTATAACTGCCAACAGTGACGTGTTTCCAAAATCTGGGCATTATTTATGTGTTGCCAGAAGGTACTTTGTCTTATCCTCGTTCACCGTTAGACAAAACTCATTAGCTGCTTTGTTTACGCGGGAAAATGTTGGCATCTGTCCGACCGGAATATGCATATCCGAGGGATGACATTCACACGAACCTAATCGTTCTCACTCGCTTAATATGACAGTACGAATCGGATTAGATCCGTGCAAATGGCATCCGGTCGAATGCCGTAATGGGCATTAATATTATCGGTAACGGCATGGAGAAAGTAGTGTCAAATGATGTTGACAAATTTTATCATAAAAATATTACATCAGATCTATTCTGCACGGCAACCA